CAAAATAAATCAAGTTTAGCAGGGCGCACTTCATAATTCCTTATTGTTATACACAAAGCTGTATCTCCGTATTCTTATAATACGTTGAATCATGTTAATGCATGATGTGATGTGGTAAACTACCTATTAAATATTAAAACAAAACCATCCCCTAAAAAATACCAAAAAAGGCAGCAGCAAAATAAAATGAGACAAAGGTGGTGCTCCTCACACCTTTGTATCCTTATCAAACAAAGATAAGTGAGAACATGAAGGGGCATTTGTTGTATGTAGCTACTAGTAACTTTTTTAAAAGCCCCAACTGACGTTTAGTATTATTATTTTGCTGTTTAACTGCTGTAGCATTTTAAAAGGTTAACTCCATCAATTTTAACAAGGATTACGGTGGTTTGAGGCAATAATCTTTTCAGTGCTTGGTGAAAGAATCCCCTCTCCCCTCCCCTCTCCCCTCCCTTCTCCCCCACCTTCTCTGCTAGCATCTTGCAATGACGTTTCCCTCTTTAAATGACCACAGCTATATTGTTGATTGTAGCATGCAGTCGGTCATCAAATCGAAGTGCAGTTTATGCCTGCAGGCAGCGCAAACTTCACAAATAAGAGAATAAGATCTTGCACCCTGTGATATGTTTTTCGCCTCTTTAAATGACCACAACCGTATTGTTTATTCTAGCAGTTTGCGGTCAAATGAAGTGTCTTTTATGCCTCCAGGCAGGGCAGTGTGAATCTCGCAACTAATGCTCACTGCATAAATGAATGCATGGTCACGAATATATTTGCTCAGGCCTGTTGCCACGATACGTTATTCTTTCAATTCTATATATCAATGGTATCTACACTATCCAGTTTCTCTGTCTGTAACTGAGTAGAGATGATGGATTTGAATTTGATGTAAGGTACTGCCATGTCCTAAGGCAAGTTCAAACTATTTATGACAATGCAGATGCAATATCAAGAGTATAATATAAATTGCTTGACTGCAACATTATTCAATTGTGCATTTTTGGTTAAATACATCTTAAACTGCTATATAAAAAAAGTATCTTGGAAAGTTTCAATCAAATATTCTTTTTCATTGTCACAATTTAAAGTTAAATGACAATTACTAGTCTAGAGGTGGCACTATTAATGTTAACTGTGAAGTTCAATTATTTCTGAATATCTTTGTTTGATATATGCGCAATAAAAACAACACCCGTGCATAGATTGTACATTAGCTGTGGGACAGAATGTCTAGAAAGGCCACCTGTTTACAGTGGCCACCTTTCCTTTTTCCCTTGAGTGGCCTTTATAGACAGGTTTCACTGTAATTTCTTCATATGGCTTGTATAACAATACATTTTTATAAATAATGAAAAATCTTTTTTTAAATCCTGACATCTAGAAAGCTCAAAGATAATTAACTGGAATTGGGTTATCGTCTTCAAAAAAAAATCCTTATTAAAGAAGAAACAAAAATCCATGATAAATGATCTACAGACCTCAAAATAACCTATTTAATGGACCCCTTTATGATGCAGTCAACAGATGGTTTTATCAGACCAGGTCAAATAAATTGTCTTTCCATGAGTGATGCAACTAACCTCTTTCATTGCACCTCTCAAGGCCAGTATCTGTCCACTTGAGGGAATAATTCAGGGAAAACCTTGCACAATAGATATCTACGCCTTAACAAAAGTGACCCTCTTTACTTACCAGTACTTTTCCCCCCTTTTTTTCTCCTTTTTTTTATAGAGAGAATTGAAACCTAGAGAATCCTCTGAATAACGTGCATTATTAATGACGAGTGCTCAGTGAAAATTTCAACGTTTCTATTTGAAATGATGATTTAGAGTTGTCGGAGTAATAGATCAATCTGAATAGAACCAGCTGCATACGGTACCAAGTCAGCTCTAGAGACAAAAAGGATACTCTGGGGAACCGGTTATTGGGACCACTGTGTCCCTATCCTACGTCATTCATTCTTCATTTTATCATCAGCTAAATGCATTACCCCAAAACAACAAAATGCGGTTTGATAGTAAACATAATTTGATAGCCTAGTTAGGATGATATATAAAGTGGGAATGGAAACAAATGTTGTTCCTATGAATTGTTATTATATTGAATAACAATGCCAAATTCAATCAAATCAAATCATATCAGATCATATGTGGTCTGATTATCCTTAGCTAGCTCTTCCAAGTGATTTATATTGGCCTTTATGGTAATGTACTTTAGTTTTTAACTACAATTGATAATGCTGCTCAGCAATTAAATTCAAGGAATATGTAATCAGAAATGTGCAACAAAATATACAGTGAGAAACACACATCTCAGAGAAAAAGAGAGGAAGATAGAGAGAGAGAGAGAGAGAGAGAGAGAGTGGGCAAAAACCCCAATTCAAAGCCTGTAACTCTACTTAGTCATTTTTACAGCGAAACAAGTGACTCGCCACTGTAACTGCCCGGAACATTCTATAAGCAATAATACCCTCTTGATTATTTCTTCCCTTCCCTTACCGGCCAATCGCCTATCTGTGTTGATGGATAGAGTCTCTATTAATACCTGCGGCTGTCGATATGAAACAAATATTTATTAATCAAAGGACATGGTCCCCATTCTAATCATGTTGCCTGAGATTAATGAGGCATTCATCGAGCGAGCCTCGGCTGGTTATATTAGATTGGATTGGAAGCAGGATCGATCAGTGTTTACTAGGTCTGTGGTTAAAATTCATGTGTGGTTTTGGCAAATAAATTCATGAAATTATCTCGCATGAATAATTGAATCATTTAAAGAAGCTCACTTATCCCAATTTGATATTGTCTCCCAGACCAGCAGTGGGCATGCACTAAAACTGTTTCCTTCAAGCAACACATATTACAGTGTCAATGTGCTAATTGCATCAACCCACAAAAGCTATGGTATTTTAAAGATTTGTTATTTGATATAATGATGCTTACTGTATGTATTTCTCATTTAATCTCTGGTGTCATATGCAACTAAGGGAAACCCATGCTAAGTGCTTAACAGGAAGAAAAAAAGTGCCAGGCTGGGCATGCTGACTATATAAAACCAAACTTTAAGAACTATGCCAGGCAGCCCCCCCATTAGTTCATCATTCACCAGTTACCATCTAGACATAAATGTTTCATGAACCAGGATGTTTGATAGGTCGCAGAAATAAAAAGAGATGAAAAAGTGGACAAAATCCCTACATGGTTCATTTCATCATGTAATGTGCACGCATGGCGCTTCTAATTCTTCCCGGTAGATATTGACGAGGACGCCTACACTTCATTGCAACGACGCCATAAAATCCAGAAAAATCTGTATCCATTGAAACAAAAGCAAATCACCCCTCTTTAAGTGCAGTGCGAGGTCCTTTTCTCTTGAGTCCCATATACTCATTACGGTGTTAGAATGCTGATGGCATAGTATTACACCAAGAACTGGATAAGCGACTATTAAAAGCACCTCCCTCCCCCCTCCCCCTCAGGGTGTTCTCTCATTTCCCCATCAACGTGAACCAGAGACGAAACCCGACCAGGTCCTGAGTGGGTAGAAATCTCCCCCTTTTATCGCTTTTTCTATAAAACGCTTCCTCCTCCTCATTCTCTTTCTTCATCTCTATCATATTTGTCTCCACATATACATCTTCAGTAGTGGACGGCACTTGAGTAAAGACGTATTGCTACTTCTTTCACGCTACTCTCCCCTCATCATGCTTAGCTTTCGGGAGTGAAGATGACTATAACATGCACGCAAATTATTTGCCAAGAGACAACAGGGCTAGTGGAAGTACAAACAAAAAGAAAAACTTTCATCTGGGGAATATGGGGCGATGGTGTGGAAGTGGGGGAAAAATATCCCCTTACCTCTGATTGCTGATCGAGTATGGCTGATCCATTACAGTCCTTGTGGATTTACCAATCAACGTTATCAATTAACAAGATGCTGTGAAATTACGACTTGATTTATGATTGCAGGGACTAGCTAGCATCCCTTATCCAATCATGAGATAGATGCCAGGATGTTTGTTTTTAAAGCTATGTCAAGACCCAGAAAAGAATACACAAACCTCATTATTTTTATCTTCACAAGACTCTGTTAAAATTCAAGCAGCATATTTTTTTTCTTCAGTTATGAAATTTATCATTTTCTAAGAATGTTTAACCAGCTTCAATTATAATTCACCATTAACAAAGTCCGCAATGAAGGCACTCTGAATAGGACAGAAAGTTAAATATGTCTGTATTGTGAAATAACAATTTGTAAATATATTCAGATCATGCCTTCCCGATCAGGCTGCATTATATCTATGGATAGTAACATCAATAATGCGCCGATTCATGAATAATTCAATAACAGAGATGATCGAGGTATGAAATATTAAAACCAGCCGATGAGAAAGCTATAAAACCTTGATACTTGTCCTATGATCAATTTTGCATCCGTTCACGAAGCCTCATATTGAGATAAACCATTTTACGCTAGCTGAATAGTATTCAATAATCCCTCTTTTGCTTAGACAGGGAGGAACTTTCAATAAAGAATATTCCTCTTCAAATTGTTGGCTACATCTGAGGTGGGCTAAGAGCTGAAAGTCAGGCCTAAAAAAAAAAGGGGGGGGGGGGGCAAGAACCCCACCTAATTTTCTGATAAACCCTACCCTTCACCTCATGTTTGCACTTGATTTTAAGTAAATTTGCTACTTATTTCAAATATTACTCCACTTTCTCCCCTCCCCCCCCCCTAATTTTTTTTGAAACTTGCTGATAAGTCTTACTAACCCTTGTCGACAACTTTCACACTCTAAGGATTGGTTCCTTTAAATCCTTGTTAGCAAATTAAACATTTCATCATTCCTTGCTTCCCCCTAGTTGTCACCGCATTAAGTACAGAACCCCCTCCCACCAAGGAATACTCTGGTGATGCCCCCGGTCTACCCTGGAACGGAAGACCATTTAGTGTGAAACATGAGATTTTGAAAGGAAGTAATCTTGACTGGAGGTACCTACCCGCTCTTCTATGCCGATGGTGTCCCCTACTTCCTTGGCCATCCACACCATGAGATAGGAGAAACCAGCAATCCAGAAGATACAGCCAATGAATGTTACCGAGTACCACTTTCTGCTCTCCTGTTGAAGCAAGTAAACAAAGAAAATAGATAAATGGTTAATAACTATAATAATAATAATAATACACACAATGTAGTAACAATTAAAGCCTATCTGCACTAGTTTGGCCAGGAGGGATTATACCACCCTGCGTGGTCACTGACAGGTGGTTATCTCACCAACCAGCTCTCAATTAACATAAGAAAAAGGGGATTATGGGGAACCTAGAGGTACCATCTAGGCATTGTTGGCTATATAGAGGGCACAAGTAGCTACAAGTGCAGTCCCGCTTTAATACTAATGTTTCTAAGAGCTGTATAATCATTACAGCGGCATCAGATGAGCAATCCTGATAAGGCACTCTGGCATTCAAGAAATGGCTTCCTACCGGGTACCCATTTACAACACCTGGGTGGAGAGTGGCAAGTGCAGATTAACACCTGGCCAAGCAAGAGACATTGGTGCTGTGGTCGGACTTGAACTGCTAACCATGTGATCCACAGTCTGGTGACATATCCACTAGGCCATGACACCTCCGCACCTCTAGAACTGATAACGATTACCAAATATTGTCTCCTCAGAACCTGAAGGGCATTAACTAAACCTCATGGCAGATTAGCCTTGTGCTATACAAGTTATCAAACACAGTCTACTACTACTACATTGTAACACAGAGCCAACATCAATCTGGCTCTTAAAAGTGAAATTATGATATGTTTTCTTTTTAACTGTTATGTATTGATTTTAGGTATTATATTGCTATTACATATAATCAGCCTAGCATGCTTGATATGTGATTTATGTTGGATTATTCATGACCAACAAGGCATGATTCGTCTCTAGAGGGCTGGATACTTCAAGCTTAATGATTTATATCGTATCCACTGGGATTCATTCTCGGATGCAATAGCCACCACCTGAATTATTCATGGTGAACGTTTGCCAAACCTGGTGAGATGGGAGAGGAAAGGAGATAGATGAAAAACACAGAAAGGAGGGAAGAGATGCGGAGAGAGAGAGAGAGAGAGAGAAAGGGAGAGACAGAAAAAAAACAGAAAGAGGGAGAAATGGAAGACAAGAGAAAAATAGATATATAGTATAGGCCCAAGTTCACAAAGGAGGTTTAAATCTTCATTTACATAAATCCATGGTCTAGAATTAGCCCAAAATAAGCGTGACACAGTCAGAGGTCCAATATTAGACGCGCACAAGACAAGGTACACTTAATATGTGCTAATTTTTAAACATGGGTTATGTAAATGAGGATTTAAACCGTATACAAACTGGGGGAGGGGGGAAGGGGCAGCAGCAGGCCACTTGTTGTCTTAGTTGAGCTCTCACTGACCAAGTTTGAATAAACTCTGCACAGTTGATCATTAATGATGACAGCTGAACATAGCATGTAATCAACATTCATTGTGTCATCTGCCAAGAGCAAGAATGGCATTAAATCATGTCATCTTGCAAAGAGTTAACTCCCTTCTGACTTTCAGCAAAAAACATCTTCTTCTCAGAGATAAAGGTGTTCTTGAATTGGAAGAGAAGCTCATCAGACTTTGCCTTGAAGGGCTCTCACAGCCAATTAGCAATCATTGTTTCAATTCCCCAGATGTACGTGTCATGAAAACGGAGACAGACCATGCAATCACTTTGAATTCTGTTGATTTCATCTGCATTCATTATTCTGCTGTCACAGATTTACATGTCAAGAAAACAAAGTCAAAATATTTTTGTTTTTTCTTCGGCATTCGTTTTTTAAATTTCTTAGATACATATGTCAACAAAACAAAGTCACACCAATACTTGGTTTACATTCTCTCCCCAGCCTGCATGGATTCAGGCAGAATGTGCTCCGGGGGACATGGGGGGGAAAATTCAATCTTTTAAAGCTTTTTTAATTGGGGAAGACAAGGACTCTGATCAGGAGCAAATATGGTCCTTGAATGGATGTACCACGTACATGTAACTAACAGTCAACACTACCATGCTTCAAATTCTAAGATTTATGGGTCAAGAAAAATGGGTCGCTTAGTCTGCTGAAGGATAAGAGTGCAATAAGGCTATGAGAAATTGTACAAGTTAACAGTTTTCTGGCTCTTAACATATATAATATGAAATGTTAAGGGGTGTTTTTGTTTATGGCCTTTCAAAAATTGTACCAAGTTGGGGAGAAAGAGATTTAAATAAAAGTTTACCCCTGATGATTTAAAGATTAAATATCATTATCGTGAGAGAGAGATATTCAACTATTCTGAGCATCACAATGATGAACATATAAACAAAGATAATATGATCAGATTTCTAGCTGTAATGTCAAAATTTATAGACACTGCAACTCTTGAATACCGAACCTATTTATTATTCCTACAACGGGCACTCTGTACTTTCATCTGGTTTGCTCTCGTGCGGGAAGAATAGTGAGCATTCTGAGAAGGTTATTCCAAGAAAAGCTGTTCTCCATTGAGAGGAGGGGATTGACTCATCGTATCTCACTCTCTCAGAGAGCCTGGCAAGAGGGAAGAGGATTCCGGAGATGATGATGGATGCCTCGTATTGCAGGTAAGAAACCTTTTGGATGACATTTAAGGTGACGTGGTATCGCATCCCGCAATGCTCCAAAACCAGCCTTGCTCCGCAATGACGCAGACACTTAGAAGTATGACATGGTCACATGGGAAGCATGGGGGTGGGGATGAGGGAGGGGATAGAATATATAATGTGCTGGCCTTTTGGGTGAACAAGAGAATGGATTGTGTCTGTTTATAGGAAGCCACTGTTCAGCAGAGCACATTGGTTTTAAGCTGATACCCGGTAGTCGGAATATCAAACTTTCATGAAACCTGTTGAATTACATCTTCTTCACACATATAGTGCTATTCATTTCACCAGTATGTTTCACAAACATAATTTGAAGAAACAAGTAAGTAATTCAAATCATTCTATAAATTATTCGCAGTCACAGAGGGTGTTCCATGAATTTCAACATCACAATTCATTGACAAATTATGAATTTTAAAGAAAAGAAGAGCCTGTCTTTAATACGCCATGAATATTGAATAGAACAAAGATTATCTTTATCAATATAAGTATAATTTATCTGAATTGTGCATCATGATCAAAAGCCTAATACATGTAATTGTTTCCATTATGTGTCTTTATTTTTTGCTCCTGTTTTCTTTTATTATGTATTTCAATATTTAACTATATATTCATTTGTCTAATGTTTCATATTGCATTTTAATTGTGTTATGTAATACAGGGCTCTCTTGCAAAGCAGTTTTTATGTACTAAAGAGACAACCCTGTATAAAGAACAGAATAAACAAATACAAACATACAGTTTGGGTAGCAAGAACCATCTCCTGCATGAAAAGAGTGGGCTTTGCAAGTAAGGAAGTATCATGAAATTGTTGTAAGGGGATTGGGAAATGGAGAAAAAGAGCATAATTTCATACTATCATGTTTATATCTAGAGAATCTGGGATACTCTAGTATGAACAAAGGTCAAGACCGATTGGAAATCAATTTATCAAAGTGGAATGTAGCTGCAATTGTATATTTATTCTTACTTGTCATTTGTCTCTTACGTCATCCATCTAAATTCTGTTAAAAGCCAGAAGGACATTAATACTGTATTGAACGACATGTCTCAGCAACCTTATGACTCTCACCACATAAGGTTCAACAATAAATACAAGCTTTTGTCTAGGAAACTCATAACCCTACATTAAATGAAAGCACTGGTGCCTTCATCAGCCGTTAATTGGTTATCAATGTATCCAAGAGGAAGGCTTAAGAGTTGCAAAACCTCTACAAAGGTCTTATTGTTTCTGATGATTCCAGACAAAGTCGATGCCAATCTCCTCCAATTAAATCTTCTGACGTAGGAGCACCCTGGCACACAGAGTTTTACATCGTATAAGAAAGCTCATTACTCAACCAAACATGTCTGCTGGGATTTACAAAGGGTGATGAGGTGCGGAGCAAAGTGAGTGTGGTTCTGTTAGAGGTAGTAGGGTGATGATGCTATGTAAAGCATAGGAGTTGATGCCCTTCTTGCTCTCCAGACAGGGTGTGATCTATTCCATGGAGGCACATCAATATATGATAACAGTCATCCCAATGAATTTACACTTTAACTCAAGTAAGATGAGGAAGAAAATAAAAGGTTCCGTTCTAATTTTCAACCATGATTGGTACGATATCAAATGCACTATGAACACAAGGCTTCAGTCTTTCAAATTAAGAAAAATATAATGGAAAGTAAAGGAAATTGAAGATAATGAAGATTCATGTGCATTGTTTTAAAGGTGAAGGTATAGAGCCAGCTTAACATACCTGTGTTCCGAGACATATATAAATCATAATATGTAAAGGCCATCTTATGCTCTAGAATCACTAATAGAGTTTGATGTAAGCTGTAAACTCTGATGGAATCAAATTGGAGCTACTTAGATTTATGATAACCCTTTGAAATAAGTTTGGAAGATGACTAAGGCTAACATTTGATTAGTTGAACACTGAACTCTAGATAACTGGCTAGCTATATGACTTGAGTCTTGATAATGAAAAATGCATGTTTTGCACAAGTATTGTATCCTATGGGTTACAAGTTATCTATATCTATCTCTGTCTATAGTTTGGACGAAATGAGGGGCTCAGAGTACATCAATGCATTACTTCATCTTTCTTACCTGTTTTAATTTGAAGACCCCCCCCCCCCCAAAAAAAAAAAAATTATTACACACGATCTACATTAGATGTGAAGTTATCAGAATCATTTTTTTCTTTCTTCTTTAAATGCTGTTTGGTTCTAAAAGACACCATAACTGCAAGATAACTGCAAGATAACCAAAAAAGGTACTGAACAGGTACATGCTGGTATTTAGAATATTTGAAATATCATTAGCAAAGGATGTTACACCCCCTCACCTTGGAAGACTCCACTTACATAATAATATCTGTTTGGAGCCAGACTGAGAGGCATTAACTCATATACTTTTAATCTAATTACAGGATCACACTTATTATTCATCCTTACAAAAGCTTTCGACATTTTGTCTCTCCCTTTTCTTCCTCTGTCTTCTCTTTTCTTTTATTATATTTTTTGATATAGTATTGATTTGTATTGTTATATGCATATAAATATATCATTATGTAAATGATTTTTTTTTTTTTTACAGAATTAACTCACCTCTGCCTCTGAACAGAGGATATACATAATTTTTGACTTGTTGTCTTTTTGACTAAATGTCCATACCAAAGATAGAAATCTATTACCATAGATTTCATTAACTTAATGCACTTAGAGAAAAATGACCCTGTGTAGGGAGGAAGTATTTCCATTGTGGTGAAGATACACTTGTTATTATACTTACCACAATCAATCCCAAGGTATTGTTCTATGCCCTGTATTAAATTTCAGTACCCTAACAACTGTGTGTACTATTTTTTTGTATTAATAATATCAAAGTGGATTTCTATCTCTATGACGACAAGCACAGCAAACAAGTCCCACCCACGACAGTCTGCATGACCGAGCAATATCCAAGTTCATTCCCATAATGCAATGTGTGTTTATACGCAATCGTCATCGGATTCATTAACCTTGTTGGGGGAAGGATGGTTCCAAGTACTGTACAGCACCGCATCATGGCTGGCCACCATTACGCTATCCTAGGATCACGATACAAATTGCTAAATTGCATTTGCTTTGATTTTGAGCGAAAGTGATGCAGCCCTGTGTTGTCTGTTGGCACGGCAACAGCATCCACAGTATCCATGCCATGTAACAACTAGCGATAGCCTCGGCACGACAGGATGGGTAATGTGAAATGAACTTGGCGGCAACAATTCCAGGTATCCTTGGTATTATCAGTAATTGAAAGACAATGACAGCTACAATATTAACCAACAACATGACCTCTTCTTTGCTTCGAGCTATGCTACATGTATGTAGCAGTTTCACACCTAAAACCCAAAGGTTATTCGACCTTTGCTAAGGACTTCATGACATAAATATAAAGGGATAAGGGTTGGAGTTGAGATCAGGTTTGTCCTAAAAATAATTCAGATTAAGGTTCTTGCACCAGGTGTCTGATAAGAATGAAATGAAAGATTAATTGACAAGCTCGTTATGTCTCTGATGGAAAAATAACTCTGATACAACAATATTTAAAACAAATATATTTTCACATTAAGTTACTAAAAGTCAGTTCTGTCATGGATAACGTTTACATGATACATGTGACCGAAACTTAAAAAAAACATCAAACCAACACAAATTGGTCAACAAATTGTGATTCCTTTTAATGTGTTCTCCTTCAAAATAGTTGCTATTGATTATTTATTGAGATGGGTTTACTGAAGGCAGGAATTTCTGATTTTCAGAAAAATAATAGTAATAATAACCCAACATGAATGTGGCAATTTACTGGCGGTTTTGAGCAGACAGAAACATGTCTACAACACAAGAAAGAAGGACCAACCTATAAAGGTAAACTAAAATTATTATTATCATTATCATTTTTGTTATCAAACTGTACTCTTCTCTTGCTCCCTTTTTAAAATCTATTTTGGATGTAAACTATTATTACATGTTGTCCATTGCTGGCAAATTCATTTAACAAATATCCCCTTTAAAAAAAAATTAACAAAAAGAGGATATAAATGAAAGGGGAAAAAAGAAGAAAGATATGGGGACACAATCTTATTGAAACTGATCAATGGTGATACATTCTTAGGGATTATTCTGAATTAAGCTCCACACAAATGAAAGGGAATGAACTAGAAAGATATGGACACTGATACATATACAAAACTGAAACAACCTGTTGGAGTTATTTTATCTGAATAAAACTGATCTGTCTTTAATATATTCAGTTCTTAGCTCCACTTTAATCCGCAACATCCCAGAATCTCCTTATCACACAGCAGACAATTAAATGTCAAACCAACCGAACAACTTCCCTACATCCCGCCCCCTTCCTCCTCCCCCGACTCGTCCAGCTCTAGACAATATTGTGACAGCGGTAAAAAGGCACCCATGCGATTAAGTAGCAGCGAATCAATCAGTCTGTGCTCATTTTCCAGATTAAGCGCTAGCGTTACATCAGCACTTCTCCAGTGTCGTTGGATCACAGATACCGAGGGATCGTAAGCTGTGTAATCGTGAGTCTCCTGTCATTGCTTGCATCAACTATGGTGTCATCGCCGTAGGAGAGAGCTCATTTCATGCTCATTTTCTTTCTCTTTTTTAATGTCAAGTGTCGATGCTACAAGAGGAGTGTCGATGTGCAAGAATCCCCTGAGTATGAATGTTAGAGTAAAAAGCATTTCATAACCAAGATGTTCCTGTTTCTTCTCGTTGAGGCTGGGACATGAATGTACTCAGTTGATATATAGAATTCTCAAACCTCACTATATTGCTTGTTTTCTCTGAGGGTTTTTTTTTTTGTAGTAGTAAATTAAACGTCTTGAAGGAAAACAAAAAAATAGGTTTTTGGAATGATACAGCACTTTTAACTTTCCTTTCTTCCTCTTTCTCTCTCTCTTTCTCTAAGGGGAGTAATATATTTAATTTCACCAGAAATGTTGATGGACAGAAGGAAAATGTATGACTTAAAGACAAATACTGGGGCTTCTTGAAGGGCTACAGAGGGGGGGGGGGGGGGGGGGGGGGGTTATTGGCCCTTAGCCCCTGTGTATTTTGAGGGCTGAACTTTATGAATTACATAGCACAAGAATTTGGGCTATATGCATGTATGATACATTAAAGGGATAGTTGAGTTCTGTTTTCAGACCGCAAATGCCTTCAAAGTGCATGGTTATTGCTCTTATTCTTATCTATAACATTTCTAGTGTCCTTTTAGAACATAAAATTGCTATGAAGGTAATTTTAGACCCCAAAATGTGTGAAAGTTAGCCAATACGAGCATACCAATTCAGCTCCACTTTAAAAAAAACATGGTGATCATTAATTAATTATTTAATTAAAAATAACAATACATGGGTCGGCTGGTTGTGCATAATATAAGCAACATGAAAATGCCAACAAAAAAGCCAACATCGGCATTGGCTGAAATACGACGTAAAAGCTGTTATTTCGTTTTTTTCAACGTTTTTTTCAAATTTTTCAAACTACCTAATATTTGTGGTGGTACACAAGTATTAGAAATCGTTATATTTCAGCCGTCTCTGAACCGATTTTGATCAAACAAAGATGATTTTGTAATTTAAATATTATGTTCTTTCAAATTTGACACTCAGTTTTTCATTATCTCACAAATAAAATATTTTGTGTAGTGCCCTCTGCAACAGAACTCAACTATCTCTTTAAGCTTATGTAGGATAAAAAACACATAGTTCAAAGAAAAGATAGAAAATCTGACTTGCCATTGATTCTAAGTTACTTAGATTTAGTCATGATAAACACAATGAAACATTTCTTAAAACCTAATTTCTGATCAGTTGGTTCTACATGCTGGTACAAAATAAAAGCTTTAGCATATAACGTCCTTGTTTTCACGAAGTGATGGTAGTGAGGAAAATCGTCACGCAAAGTGAATGCAATTTTTTTTCACTACCGTCACTTCGTGAAAACAGCGACGATAAGTAGTTCAAGTTATTGGTCGCAGCTGTTCATTCAAACACACTTCATGAGTAAGAGACAAAATTTTATTTTGTATGATTCAAGACACCTGATTACTCTTACACAAATCTTAGTTTCTGTTCTTGTATTTATACAATGAGAGTTGAATTCTGTATCGTCTTTTGCTTTTCTTGATTTTTTCCAGTGATTATATAGGTCAGAGCTTGTAGACATGTTGCGGAGACAGCTGTGGACGGCTTTGATAATTATCAATATTTTTCTAAGAATTTAGTGTTCTCATCAGCTCCTATTGACCTAAATTGCTGACCCTACATGGTATGAAGGTCTGTTCAGACTAGAGAAACTTATATAAAGAAACGTATAACAAATCATTGTATAGCAAAATGTGTGAAAACACTTAATAATAACATATAAAGAAACTAGTTTTGAAGAGGGCAGTTGACATGCTAGCTGATCATCATCGGGCACTCACAATAAGCCTCAACTCCACTCCTGCCTGGTTATACAATTTTGCGTAAAAGGAAAACGGTCCTTCCCCTTTGAGTGATACATGAGCATCTAGCCTCGATCTTAATGGCATTATCTGATTAGCAACGCTGACGCAAACACACTCTGGCGGTAATAAGCTTTTTTTCCAAAGAAATATTCAACAGTGAAAAATCCAGACTAATTGCTTGTGGCATTTCCTGAAGAAGCAGATATTAGGAGAATGTCTTTATTGACTCGTAACAAGGGTTGTTATCAAGGCATGCCCTGAATGTAAAGATTGAATGTCCTTAATCTTCCTCCCAAGTCCATAACTGCATTCTTTTACGACACTCCATCTCGAAAGAGGGATTTGATAAAGGTGGCACTTGTTGCAAGATGTAGTTCATTCCCAAAGGGTTGGCGACCCCGTGACAGGGATGTAAATGGTCCTGGATGATCATGAATGTTTTTATGCTACTTTAAATTGCAGGAAGTCTTGATCATGTTAGTGAAGAGATTACCAGTCCAGCAGCCTCATCAAATCTGCATCCTACCAATAAACAGTACTGGCTGAAATGTATGGACTCAAATTTGTACAGATATCTAGGTCGAAGTTCAAGTAAGCTCAGTTATTTTCCACTTCATAACGGGATGGATAAAATTACAATGATAAGATTGATCTATGATCTTTGACTTCAGGTTTGAAATATATGTAAGAAATGGCAATGAAACAATAAATCATCAGTTTATTTTACAATCCAATATAAAAAGAAGACCAGTTTGACCAAAAATTGCTAGAGAAAAGAGAAGTCAAAAGCAAGGCATTGGTACTATACTGTAAATGCTGAGAGTCTTCATATTTGGACTTACCACTCTTCTGACGTCCGGTAGTGTGAAGTAGAGTACATAGACCAGTGGTGCAAGAAGGATGTAAGTCACTTGTTTCCTCCATCCCTTGGGCCAACTGATGTCAAGAGGCTCCTCAACTTCCATGTCAGCCATGTCAGGCTACAAGCAAATAAACAATTAATACATCAATCAACATATATGAATAATAATATAATATATATAACAGAAAGAAATATATAATACTTTGTATCAACATATCCATATCAAAAATTATGGCAGCATTGCATATATCATCCACTGAGAGCCAAAGAGGCATAGTTAAAGTATATGCTCATATAATTCAATACAGACTTTACACCCTTCTGGCTCTCAACAGACAATCCATCAAGAACTCAATGTGAGTTAATGCCTTCCTGGCTCTCATTATACAATATAGTTATTGTCTGTTGGGAATTAGAAGGACATTAAATCACCTGCTTTAACATAAGAGTTTCTCAACAGATGACTGTAAATGTGAGTTAACACTTTTTAAACTCTAATTAGGCAATACAACGTGGACATTAGAATCGCAATCACAACATATCTTATCAGATATGAGCCACTCATCCTCTCCAAGCGCTATAGATCTCCTTAGAACTATAAGCTAAGAAAGATAACAAACAGTCCTTTTCAGGACTCCTCAACCCTCTCTCTTTCTCTCACATGGTGCACCCGCAAGCCTACTGTATATATCTTAAGTAGATATGAAATGTAATATATATAGTCTATCTGATAAGGGGAATGGGGATAGAGAGAGCAGACAAGAGAGCTTTAGAGAAAGAAAAAAGAAGAGAGATAGAAAAAAATAAAGGCACAGAAAGAGAGAAAGACAAAGAGGGGGAGAAGGGGGGGGGGGGGGAGATGGAGAGGGGAGAGAAAGAGAGGGTAGAGGAGAGATTTGTTTATAACATAAAACAAACTAACATTGAAAAATTCTAGTTTGTCTTTTACCCAGGTACCATTGTTATCGTTTAACAAGCAGCAAATTTTGGAGCAAACGGGAACGCAATAATTCATGTCACTTGCAAACAGTGTTCATATTACTTATTTACTCATTTACTTATTTACTCATTTTAGGAATTGAATTAATCACTCCCTTTTTCAAAACAGAATAAAAAAAATGTACTTGCTCCATCAAGCATGAGTACATTTACATCACTACACATATAGTCTGCTGACAGTCACTTAACACAGTGCCAATGCCCTTCCGGCTCGTAACAGAGGAATCTTCTTCATAGAGTATAAACAATGTCTAAAGAAGGTGTTAGCAGTATTGTGTGCAATGGTGCCATTCAACACATGGGGGTGAGGCTCTGTCACCTTATTTCCGCTTGCTCTTTACATAAAACATTTTGGAGAAGAACATTCATTCCCTAACAATCCCATGACGATATCGATCTTCGTCTCAGAGACAGAGAGAGAGAGAGAGAGAGAGAGAGAAGAAATGCAGACAAATGCCTCACAGGTTTGGCAGGGTGGAATGAAAGTGAGATTTTCACGTCAAAGCAATGAAAATTACACGAGGAAGAGGTGCTCTTAAATTCGCTTGAGAATTATCGAGTAACCCTTTAGGATCTTTCTTTGTGCCCTTATCCAGTTAACAAAGAGAGGTTATTATACTAATGGTGTTGTTGAAATCGAAATGAATAGAGGTGCATGTCTAGGAATATATTATAGGCCATTCAACATTTATAACATTATAACATATAACATTTTATAAGTTAAAGTTGATCTCCTCTACACTTCATCACTATTCCTTCATTGTTATTACTCGTTCATTCTTGTAAAGACATAGATGTGTAATAGAAAATATTATAAACAGATATCAATCTAATACAATCATTAACTTCCCCTAAAATATTATCCATTTTTTTCTCTTCACATTTATGAACTCAAGTCTTGATGGACTTTTTAATAAAGTTCTTTTTTTGTTACCCTCCTTTTGTTAATACTTTTGTTTTCTTCATTCTTTTATTGTCCCATTGATATTTTTGCAGGTAACAGTGATGTAGCAACTATAGTGCTGTTTCTTTTTCCTTTTTATTTTCACGTTTCATTCTGGTAGGGTCAGGCTTGCTTTTAGATCTACCGGTAGTTGCTTTTGTGCCATGCAATGTCGTCTTGTTCTAATATAAATGCACACATCCATACTATCACCTCTAGTGTTCCACAAATTTCTGATAATAAATGTGTTACAAAAGTATAGTTACTTTGAATAGATAAGTGATTCTAATAACAGCCAACCAATTTGATTGGGCTATTTGGGACTCTCCATTAATACAGGGACTGCTGGTGTACCTCAACTGTCTATTGCTCCCGATTGCACAATTATTACAAAAAAAGAAAAAAGAATCAGGTGTATTCCATGACGAGAAAACAAAGAAAGTAAGTAGATATAACGGTCCAAACGTGTCTGTCTCGTTCAACAGGTTGTTACATTCCACGACCGCTGTGCTGTTCCCCTCAGCTTTCGGCATTCATCATGAATAGTTCGCTGATGCACATAATCAGCAATTATGCGCGACAATTCTAAGTGGGGGAAGCTATTAAAGATGGACCGCCATTGCCGGCGCAAGTATGACCTTTTCAAGAAATTCTGGCAGGATGCAGGCCGTGAAAGAGCAAATAAGTTATTGCATAAGACTATTTTAAGGTTAATGGAGTTATCTCCTTAAATAGAGTTTTGTGAATAAATTAAAATAAAGATACATATATATATATATATACTGGGCAATTCCACGGTAACGGAAGGACACTCAGACAAGATTTTTGAACTTCAGGTTCATACTAAAAGAACTGTTTTATTAGTATAAGATGTGAAACAGTACAGATATAATACCTATATAAGTGCCTTTAATTCTCCCAAAAAAAATTGTCATTATAGTTAAGTAGTTTAAGAATGTGCATATTAATTATCTCGGTAACGGAAGGACATAAAAACGGACATGGTTTTTCCAGTTAATTAGTGTTTATCCAAACTTTGTGAAGTTGATGAAGCTTTCCACTTGACTGAAACACATTTTGTTCCCCATAGTTTAATACATACTAATAAAACATTTCTTTTAGTATGAACCTGAAGTTCAAAAATCTTGTCTGAGTGTCCTTCCGTTACCGTGGAATTGCCCTACTGCACTCGAACCTGCTTTAGTGGCCATCTGAAAAGAAAGATCATCTATCCATAAAGACTACATCATCTTTTTGCATTAACACAATATTTCTTATTAAAACATGTGCTAAAGTAAACCTGTCTATAAAGACCACCTGCGTATTGAGACTGCTTTTAGTGTTTGACTTTACATAAAATAATAACATATCAAATAAAAATCAAGTAAATGTTAAAAAGATAGAGTAATGGGATAATATAATATTTCATCTCTAATTCAGAGATTTTTCTATTAAAGAAGAATATATTTTTTTTTCTCCCAAAGATTTTCACAATGTAACTGCTTTTTAGTGAAACCATATATCTTGCACACCGTTGACATAATGCTATCGTGGGCCCCTGCGATAGAAGTCTCACGTCATGGCCGAGGCACTTCATCGTAAATATTCAGAGATACAATCGCTTCTTTGCTCATAAATCTCACCTATGTTGTATTCACATGATTGAAATTCTAAATAAAAAAGTAATTAGGAATTTAAGAGCAAAAACACTTTAACGACAAAGACCTATTTGGTAGACATACCAATAAATCAAGCACAGTTTATTCTTATCATTGGCTGTGAAATGAGATATTTTACTGAAGGGATTCCTATTTCAACTGAATTATTTTTCAATATGGTCTCAGAATTTCTACAAAACACATCTAGATTAATAAAAACCTAAAAAATTGAGGAACATGCATTAACAACATCATGACTTGCATTTTGCTACTCTGACTTTAACTTTTTCTGACGGGAATAAAATTGAATATTAAAACACTGTCTATCCATAATCTATGAGCTAGATAGATGGGAAAAGATGAAACTTGCCTCTAGGCATAATTTAGATTATTTTTGCATTTTTAAAAATAAAAATAGATCAAAACAAAGCACTTCCTTTGTCTTAGTTATCAACAAACACATGTACATATTTTCACATTGAAAAATCATGGCACATTGTTATCTAAAAAGTCTTTAGAAATTTAAAAAGAACTTAAATTTCTTGAAAAGGTGCATATAGTTCCTTATATTTCATGAAATAAATTCTATCTATCTATCGTTGAATATGCTTACAATTTGCAGGATACAGGCATGTTGCAATATTTGACATAACATTTGCCATTTGGTGAGTCCGGATACAAGATTCTTTGCCATGCTCTGTTATTCTGCATGTATGTATGCAGCGATCACTCACGTCATGAACATCGCAAACATAAACATGAGGGGACAAGACAAAAAAAAGAGGCAATTTGCTTCTCGTTTAGCGTCTAAACAAGCATCTTCGCGGATAGGTGATCTGTTTGACAGCCGAGACCATCACGTTGTTTCGTGTCTGGCTTACTCTAATGGATAAGATCACTGAGTGTTTGGCAGTGGGGCATATTGAATTTGAGAGAGTCTAATTCTATTTTGGAATTAGATTGGATGTTTGACTTGGTAGGGCATCAGTAAAGCTAATTTGTAACTCTCTTCGTTTCCCTGGACACAAGGGCCAGTAAAGGCTCTACAAACGCGTCTTCCACAAAAGGTTAAGTCATGTATCTTCTTCCACTCCGTTGCCAAGCTAGCTCTAGCTCTTACCCATTTCTCTCTTTGATACATGAATGCTAATACCTGGGATGTGACGTGATGCGTTGGTTGCCAGGTTGCCTGAAGTAAGTGACTGTCTGTTTTGGATAAGTTTGCTCATGCATGTGTTTTGGTGCATTTTTAGAAGTGATCGACACTGTCTACATCATATAAATAACTGGGCTTGGACGGATAGGGAATGAAGTACGTGAGAAAGGAGTCAGATTATTGATCCAGGAGTTTCTAAAAGTGTTCATGTATTGGATTAAAATGTGTCTTCTCCTAATTAGTCCTTCCTTCAATTATTATGCCTCCCTGTTGTTTCTTCCTCACTGTTTTTAAGCTTTAAAATTGCCTTCTGCAATTTGTCACGATGGCTAAGGTCCTTTTTAACTTTCATGTCAACTTCAAAGTTCCATCTGTCTGCCTCTGTTACACAATTACAAGAATAATTTTCTCAATCAAATTATTTGATCATTATAAAGCACTGGTTATGAATGGTTGAGCAACATGAGTGAATGCACATACAGCAGAGGCAACTATCAGAGTATACAAAATATATTTCTTTTCTAGCTTGATATTACATTTTTTATTTCAAATTCCCTAAACAAATGAAATATAAAACAAGAATAAAATTAGTAATTGACCTACCTGTTCTGTACTTTCCGGGGATTCCACATCGTGCATAGCACCAGCCGTTGTCAACTGTTCCGTGCTCTTCTCAAACTGATGATCCACTCCATTGGCTATGGGAGCATCATTAAGATCAGTGTTCGTTCCCCCGTTGGTGGCGCCATTCAAATTGATTGTCGTTTCATGCAAGCCATTGCCATTGCCATTGCCATTCCCCTTGGCATGGTCTAATGGCTCGTTTGTTTGGTGCAGAAACGCTGCATTGTTGCTGAGCTGGTTAATGTCTGTAGTGTTTGGGTGGTGTCCATTGGTCGGCAGAGGAGTCAGTCTTATCCCGTTCCCCGTCTTGACACTGAGGGGGCTATCACATGCCTGTGATACTGTCGTAATCTGCGTTGGTTCGTCCATGATTATGTCCCCATTGGTGTATCCATTGTGATACGATATTGTCAATTTTTGGTTGGACCTTGCACTCTCCGGTCTACTTGCAGATTGTTCATGTGGCTGTCCAGACGTGTCCTTGCCGTTTCCTGTGGGCTGTGGCCCTCCAGTCTTCTGTTGCGACTTTGCCATCACTTGAAGCTGCATAGCCTTGTCTTCCACAATGTCCGCTGAAAATAGAAAGACAAGAACAAAGAACATATCAACATTTGGGTCAAATCTACAGTTGAAAACCCTGTTCACTCTTTCAGACCTTCTCTGAAGTGAAATGTGCATGTCCGGCCAGCATGGGTTATTTTAATTAGTATGCTCTCAACAATTATCACAACATGACCCCAATAAAGGAATAAAAACTGATGTATATACCATATTTAAAAATTCAAAGACCATTATCTCAAAAAGAATACAGGCCTTGACAAATTTGTCTGTTAATTTTCTTTGAATTAGCAATTGGACAGTATAGGCGAATCATTCAACAAAATTTGGAAAGCTGATATAGCTATGCAGGTAAAGTGAGATAATTGGTATTTACGCCAGATGCAACTGAAAAAAAACAGAGTGCAGGGGAGAAAAATCAGAAAGCGGCTCTCTGAAGTCACCCTTGCTTTCCCCATGTCACGTAAATACACTTCCTGTTCCCACAACATCATTTGCATAACAGCTAGTCGTGTCTATCCCAAGGTGCTTAGAAAACCGTGACGATGTCACCACTGAATTGAAGGGTCCGGAAAAATCTGAAGGTATACAGGGTCAGTTAAAAAAACAACCCACCCAAAGTCAGATTCAACCTTAAATATGATTGTAATCGGTATATACCATCGAAGACCCTCAACCCATCAGGTATTGTTTGATTTGACACCATATCAATATAAGCTGAAAAGTAGCATTTTTTTCCCCTGATTCATTCCAAGTTTTCCACTTAACAAGTTTTGAATGAAATGGATGATCAATCAACCCAGGGCTTACTTGAATGGTCTTCATTCTTGCTTATAGGACTCACATAAAATGAAAGGAAGTCCTGAACACCATTTATCTTAAACATTGGCAAAGGTGATTTTGACTGACATGCTATTTAAATAGGGCAGCGCTCATTCATCCATGATCGTATTTTGGTGATCAGCTATCATCAAATTAAAGAAGACACATCTGCTATCATGCAATTAAAATGTTTTTCAGCATTTTCCCTTGGTTTCTAAGATATCTGCACTTGAATATGGGTAACCTTTTTACTGACTCACCCTGTATACCTAATGGTATTCCTCAGAGAAAGTTAGTGGGATTCATCGAGTGAATACCGTAAACATTGAAATCGATTGCATCTCAAAACAAAAAGCATGATTATCCCCCCCCCCCTCCCCCAGAAGACTATTTTCCTTTCTTTGAGATACGGGCAAAGACTTCAGAATGCTGCTTTTATATGAGTCTGTTCTGCATACATATTAGAGCAGCCAAATGTGACAGATTACAATCATGACTAAAATAACAACTATTTTTGCACTTTTCCAAATAAAAACTCAACTGTATGCATGAATACAGAAGAGAAAGAAAATCCATGAATGTTTGAGCTCCTTATATCATCAGAGCTTGGCTTAAGCTTGCATAATAATAGGATTCAGTACTTTTATCCTAAGGGAAAGCGCTTCACAAATTCATTTATTATTAGCTGATGATGCATCTTACCCAGCGTGTATCTATATGCAATCTTTCTCTTTTTTGTAGAGAGAAAGGAGGAAAAAAAACAACTGGATGAAGAGATCTATTCATTATTAGGTAAAGTGTTTTGTCTAGATTTAAAGTAAAAATTTGGTTTAGTTTAAGGGAATGACATTGACTATGCCATGGAGCATTTATTGTAAGAGCATGTCAAACAACCTAATAAAATTACATAATTCACTGAGATACACTAAAAAGTGATTGTTTCCTCCAAAATTTCTTCTAGTTTTATTCAGTAACTTTTTGCAATTACATCTTTATAATAACCCATTGCCTACTGGAACCAAGGGGTCCGTGTATTAAGCCTATGGGAAATAGATAATTTAGTAGTTAACAGGTTAAGTAACTTGGCTTTAAAAAATGCAAGTAATTGAGTGAAGAGTCTATAGGTACTCAGAATTCAACTTTGTTGGGGTGCATACATCCATTCTAAATATTCCAATAACTCATTTTGAAAAATAATATAGGATTTCCTGTCCATTGAAATTGAATGAAAAATGTGTTAAAATGAATAGGAAAACCTATAATTAAGTTGTTGTCATTTTAATGCAATAAATGAATTTTTTTTTAAATATCTAAATATCTAAGTAACGGTTGTTCTCTCAACCCTTACTTAAAGCTTTTAAAATGTAAATGTACAACATTTAATGAAATTACATGTTACGGCACTCAGCTAATTGAGTGAGGATGCTCATGTTACCACCATTTATTGCTTTACACATCAAATTGCTAGAGACTATGCCAATGTCTTTGGGCATGAAACACATATATTGACATTCTAACTCCGTACAACCAATATATAGCAGGTCAAGGAACTTTGTCAGCTAGGAGACAGGGAGAAATAGAAGGGTAGGAGAGAAGAGAAGTGAAAAGGAGAGAGAAGGAAGTATGGAAGGAAAATAGACAGATAGAAGGATCAAAGAGGAGAAATAAGAGAAAAAGAAACAAAAGAAATGACAGGTTAAGGAGGAGTAAGAGAAGGAGAAAGGAAGGAGAAAAGAAAAGATGGGAAGAGGTGTCCTTTTTTTAAACACATTAGTGAAACCCCAAGAACCCAAAGATTTTTTTAAAAAATCATCTACTTTGTTGTTTCTGTCCTCTTTTATATTTTTAAATTAAAAGAAGGGCATTTTAAAAAGCGATAAACTAATCCCTCCCTTCTTTTTGCTTGTCAGATTGCGGAACTGTGCCCCCCCCCCTTTACACAATCCTGGATACGCCCCTATCTTAGACTCAAGGATTATACTCACAGTCACTGAGAGGGTCTAGTGTGTGGAGCATGAGCTGTAGGGCACCATGGCGGAACATACTGGCATTGTTGCGGAAATGGGGCAGACTTACTCTCCGGCCATTCTGTGTGGTGAGAGACAAACAAACAAACATACATGTCAGATACATCAAAGATAATGACAAAAAGAAAAAGGTAAAGAAAAATAGCAAATTATGCACAGTGCAACCTGCTTTAACAACCACCTGTGTAGAAAGATCACCTGTCTATAAACACCAAATTTGTTGTTTCCCTTGAAAAATCTTTTCTCATTGAAACATATACTAAGTGAACCTGTACATAAAGATCACCTGCTCATAAAGACCACTTTTCTTGTCTCCCTTGAGCGGTCTGGTCTTTACATACCGCTTTCATTGTATATAATCATATAAAAAATGTATGCCTCAACAATACCTTTCACAAAATGGTGTATGTAGTTGGTCACATCCAATGGTTGAGTTATGATAAAATTGAGATATATAGGAAACGCATGGTGCTCACCAATTCTGTGCTTATGAGTATTCAACACAAATTTTCTCAGATTTGACAAATTTGCTAAATATGTTGATTTTTACATTAAATATCAACATTATCAAGGTGTTTACATGTGCCCTTCAAATCTTCCACATCTAAAATGTGTCTAATAGTGTAGACAGTGATTTGAGCCATGTGGAAATTTGGTGACTGAACTTGTTTTTTTCACGACTCTTTTAGTTGAAGTACATGTAAGAGCATTCAAATGATTAACCGAATGCCTACAGGAACCGGGTGGATAATGTATTAAGCCTATGGGAATGAGAGAATTCAGGAGTTAAGAAGTTAATTAATTACATGTAGGTGAGCCCTCCACTTCACCTTGGCTTTCAATTAGAAATGACAAAGACAGAATAAAAGGTTTTATTTTGTTTTGCCAGATGTCTGATGGAGTAGATATTAAGTATGTTTTAAAACATAACCTTGTATCCAGTGGTTTCATTGTGCTAATTTTCAAGTGTTGACTGTATATCTTCTTATTCATTTGATTATGATCTAAGTACTGAATAAAACTTTTTTTTTCTTTTATTAGGTTAGCATCCTATTAGTAGTTTTGATGCTATAATTACTTGATGCAAGAGATTAAAAAATGAATCACTCATTTCTGTTTTAATGAATCACTCGCATGGGTAGTATAGATAAGATCACTAAATCACATAACATACTGAAATAATTAAGCGTTTCAGACTTTACTCTGATAACCGATTAGTGATTAGGATGCCAATACTATTACTCCCAAAGAAAATCATGTTTAAAAATACTTAACAAGCACTTTGGGATTGATAAGCTTCAGAAAGAAAGCCTCAGTTAAGATTTTTAGTTGAGATCAATATACACATCAGGAAACTTCTTGGCAAGAAATCAATCAATTATTATCTGAATCCAATCAACAGCCCTTGCAATTATGACCAAATTCTGATTGGCATGATGAGGATTATAGATGACATTTGAAGCATGATATTAGAAACAATATCCTGGATTTATATAGCACTTAATACATATTGTTACCCTGGTCATTGGATTTAGGCTTGCCAACACACAATGTATGCACCATCTCCACTCCCTGGGGAGCATTTGAACCAAATGCCCCTTTTTTTACTGGCACTTTCAATGGTGAACAAACCACAATGACTTTCGCATCGTATTGGATACCTATTGAACACCTGGGTGGAGAGAAGCAATGCAGATAAAATGCCTTGCTTAAAGACATAAGCTCTACGCCGAGGACTGAACCAATAACATTTGCACATCAAGTAAAGCGTTTAAACCATTTTTTACTACAACAGTACTTTGGCAACATTGCTTCTACCCAAAAAAAACAACAACAAATAGATAAATAAATGAAATAAAATTGTCAATTAAAAAGCTTCAGAAACAAATCCTCAATAAAGATTTTTAGTTCAGATCTATCTTCAAATCAGTAAGCTTTCAGGTAAGGAAACCAATCAATTTTTATCTCATGCCAATCAACAACTCTTGCAACTATGATCAATTACTGATTGGCATGATGAGGATCATACATGACATTTCAAACATCTCTTACGCAAGTGTGTGCTGGCCCTAGCTAGCTGGAAGGTTTGTCCTTAATCATAATGACATAAGCATAATTGCCTCGCATCTTATAATACAGAGATTAGTAAGAATGGGTAAAGGACCTTTTTTTCCTATATTGATGACATAATTGCCTAACATTTTGTATCTTATATCTTATAATACAGAGATTAGTGACGATGCGTAGGACCTTTGTTATGCAAGATTACTTTTTTCCATCCTCACTAGCGATTACAACTTTCAAAAATTCATATCTTTATCGATTTTTGGGCGATTTCATTCAAACTTTTACCAGACTCCTCTGATTTGTCTCCTTTCCTATAGAGTAGTTTGCTATCAAGGTTGGATATCCCTTTAAAACCAAATTGCACTCATACCCTAACCCTTTATTTTTTCGGAATTACAGCAAGGAGTAATATTTGCAGAGGCATTTGTCAGAGGACCTTAAAGTGTCAAGTTTTGCATTAAAAAAAGGGAAACACGTTGAGTATCCAGAATGAATAGAATCAATGCGTATATGCAGTCATCAAGTCCGCATCATGGCCTTCATGTACAGGAAATAAGGGAGGCTTTGAGAGAAATTATCAATCAACCAACCATTATGGAAACTCCCATTCAATACCAACATTAACTCTGAATGTCACTCTATCAAGATGTTTTAAACCTTCTGTATTGTGAGCAGCAAATCCAGTCAAAGAATGATATATTTTAATATGTTAAAGTTCGGAACAAGAAATTACAGGCTCTATTTTCCTGGATTGAGGATGAGCATTTAAAAGGTGGTTTCCATTGACAATAATCAAAATAAAAATTAAAACAAAATAAAAACTTATTAAAAGCTGAAGCATGATTCATGGAAATTCAATCATGATAACCATGTCAAAAACGATTGGCATACCCAATAAGCTTTTATCAATGGGATAAGTAGATGGATATGATAGAAAACTACTGCGAAAATTATGCTATTGCTCACGAGAAAGTTTTATCATTGCATCTGTCGCCATCTGCATACATAATGTTACATGTTCATTGTGAAGTAGTAAAAGAGCACGACAAGCATCGGGAAACAAAATCTAATGAGCTGTTTCCTAGCTGGCGACGAAATTACATCCTGGTTGTCATGGAAACCCATCCAGAAAAGGATTCTGTCATCTTTGTAGGATCTATATCACATTTGATCGTTTCTACTCATGTGCACCTAATGACATTATATGTGATGTATCGCTTGAAGATTGAATGTAAATCTAATTCCATTCCAAGCTTGAAGGCATTCAGTACAATTTCTACAACATGGTTGAATGTGAATACTTATAACTGAAATTTAGTGCTTTTTTCATATCATTGTAGTGATATGAATACAGGTGTTGTACACATATGCAAATATGCACATACATGTATCCACTGCTTTCTTGAGTGTGTGTATGCAAATATGCACATATCCACTGCACCTTGTGGAAGCCATGACCTAAACAATAGTAAACACTTCAATGAGCAAGCATGGGCAATCAGGCATGAATATATGAATAAATGTACATGGACAGTGTATGCAGAGAAGGGATGTTGGTATGTTAGGAGAGGGACACATGGTTTGGGCTCCGAGAAAGGAGGTACTTATAGGGAGAAGACTCCATGTTGGATTTTTAAGGTGTGTCCCTTGCAGGACCTAGACTGTTGAGTTCATTGATATTGAGAGAGACAGAAAAGAGTTAAGTCTGAACCAGTAAAGATGGAACCAAATGGAACCAAATTGAATCATGCGTCCTTATTGCTTGGCTCGTTACAAAATTATATGTATTTTTTGTGTGGTAGTTTTGGATAATACATCTAGAGCAGTATTATTATTTAATATTGTAGAATATCTATAACTGTATCGGAGCCTAAAAACTAGAAGACCAGATTAGTAATAAGCTTGTATAAAGCTTTAACAGGATAATCCTGTAAATTTATATATATATATATATATATATATATATATATATATATATATATATATATATATATATATATATATATATATATCTATTTCATTTGTTACAGTTAATTTCATTCCTAATGCTTAATTAAACAATACTGCATGAATATATTACATACTTCAAGAATTAAATCAATTAAATCAAATAATTAAATAAAAGTATCCTTTACGTGCTTTACACTAATGTTGAAGCACTGTAGTATTATTATCCCAGGTATTGCCAAGGTACCAAAAGGCACTGTGGCAATCAAGAATTTCTTCCTACTGCATGGGTACTCATTACCTGGGTAGAGAGTAGCAAATGTAGATTGATGTCTTATCAAAGGATGTTAGTGCCGAGGCAGGGGTTTGAATCCTACTGTACGTAAATTGTGATCCATATTCTGGAGATATATCCACTAAACCATTAAACTAAATAATGACTATACCCTAAAAACACATTTCTTGCTCAAATCATAAACTGAAAGAAAGAGGGAAAGCACATGTTCTATACAAGAAGAACAATATAGGCACTATTGAAGTCCTCAGCTACAAAGGCTAGTTTTTTCTAAAGCTCCTGCAGCAAATTTACCCTTAGCCAGAGTCTCCATGTAGTTATGTACTGCGTAAAAGGCCTGCAAGAGGGAAAATCTAGATTGAATATGATAATACCAAACTACGTACCGGTACTATATTCTTAATTCAAATCTCTATGTTTTACTTAAGATTACTTGACTTTGTGGTTCATCAACCCATATTGGAATGTATATATATATATATCTCTGTACACATCTTTTTCTAGGTTATTTTGAATTTTCATAATATCGCTGATCTTTGCACGGGATACAAGATACCATCGCAGCATCAGGGTTGGCACATCTCTTTACAGAGGTACCCCCTTCCAATCCCTCTTCCTCTCCCAGGGCTCTTAATCTCATCTCTCTCTCTCTCTCTCTCTCTCTCACTATTTCTCTCTTTCTCAGTCTCTTTCTTTCCCCCTCTCTATATCCCTGTCTTTGTATCTCTCTTCACCTTCCTTCTCCTCTATAT